ACCAATGTGATCTTTTAGAAATTTGAATCATCTGTTGTTACTCCCCTGAGACCCTCCAGTGGTTTCTAATCCCATTTAGAATGAAATCCAACTTAGCCCAGATCATAAAGACCTACCTGATCTGGCCCTGCCTACCTCCCTGCCCTCATCTCCACACACAACAGGTCAGTCATGTGAGCCATGGGTCACTTCCTAGAACATCCCGAGATCTTGCCTGCCTTAAGGATTTTGCACTTGCTTAGATTACTGTTGGCTTTGCTTTCCACATCATTGCTTTCATCCACTAGGTGTCACCTCCTCAGAGAAGTCTTCCCTGACTTCCCTATCCAAAGTAGGCTTCCCTTGTTATTCTCTAACACAGTGTTCATTTTCTTTCATAACATTTAATAGAGCCAGTAATTATTTACTTATTTCTCTCTATCACTCGAATGTCACTTTGTCTGACTTGATTTCTCTCGTATTCCTAGCCCTGGTGGCACAGTGGTTAAGGGTTTGGCCACTAACCAATAGATCGGCGGTTCGAATCCGCCAGCTGCTCCTTGGAAACCCTATGGGGCAGTTCCACTCTGTCCTATAGGGTCACTGTGAGTCGGAATCTACTCGACAGCAATGGTTTTAGCATAGCATATGGCACAAAATACTGTTGAATAAATGAATTAATGCAAAATTTCTTAGGCTCTCTGAGTCTGATCTGTAAAACGAGTGGTTTGCCAAAGCCCTGTGATTCCTGCAATTATTTACGCATCGGGATAACCTGGAGAGCTTTTTAAAAAAAAAACTCGAGAATCCTGATTCTGTAACTTCTGGGTGGGGTCCAGGCAGTCCATCTGCTTAACAGTCTCCACCAGGGGATTCTGATACAGAACCACACGATCTGGAAGGCCCTATCTCTGTTGTTGTTAGTTGTCAAGTTGATTCCCACTCATGGACACCCCATGTGTGCGGAGTAGAATTGCTCGACAGGGTTTTCAATGCTGTGACCTTTTGGGAGCAGATCACCAGGTCTGTCTTGCGAGATGCCTTTGGGTGGGTTTGAACCTCGAAACTTTCAGCTAGCTGTTGAGTGCTTAACCATTTGCACCACCCAAGGACTCACCTGGCTGTACAATGCTATTAATTATCCTACAGCTAGTTATTTTCTTCTGGTGTTGTAGCTGGATCCTGATGTGAATAGATGCTGAGGTGGCAGCAGTAGAACATCATTAAGAGAAAGCGCTACTAAATCATCTGTGTCAAGTGAGGCTAATTACACCTGCAAAACCCTGCCTGTCAGCATACGGATAAAATGCACAGTGGAAGCAGCTGGGAGAGATTTGCCCACTTCCTAAACTCATTCAGCAAGATGCAAGTTAGCTGAAGAAGCGGCCCTTCCAGAAATTCCTCAATCAGCTTGATCATCAAAAGCATACTGGTCACATTAAATCAAGTGGAATTCATCGGAATAGAATTTGAATCTGAATGCAACAATTCAGATCATTTTCTTGGGAGAGCTTCATATTTACACGCAAATGATGGTTTTCTATTTTCTTTATGTACAGGCCCATCTAAAACTCTCTTCTCAGTTGCTTTCTGTAAAAGCAGCATGATTTTTAAAAGCCCTTTGGTTTATTGCCATTAATGTAATGGTTTCTATCATGAAGTGATTTATAAAATATATTTTACAATCGGCTTTGTTTTTCTTTAAATGTTTCTGTGGTTATCCACGAAATACAAGAGTAATAATATTTCACATTTATTGAGAGCTTACTCTAAGACAGAGGTCCCCAGGCTTCGGGAAATTCCCCTGACTCAAGCTTGCTTGACACGCCCTGTAGCTTTACATTAACATCCTGGTTCCCCGTTCCTTAACTGCTGCCTGGAGCTAGAGGAAATTGGTGGAGACCAGTCTAGGCACCATGTTGACATTCTGGATAACCTTTTACCTTATTAAATACCTCATACATAGTAACCTCCCCGCCTCTGGGTGGAGTTTATCTGCCATTTTCTGAATATGCAATACATGAAGTTATATGTAAACCCCATTGCACCTGTGTAGTATGATTAAGAATGTTGCTGATGTAACTTGTATGAACTTCCTGCTTGTAAAACCCATAAAAGTAACCTTCCCTCTTGCCCTCACTGAGCAGTCTCAGAGGCAACAGCCCTGACTGTTCCTTTCCTTGTGCAACAACACAAAGGCACCTTTCTACTCTGCCACCTCGGTCTCTCATTTATTGGCTGAGACAAGTCGTGCCAAGCAGAATCTGGAGTTTCCACCTGGCAGCAACTCTGTGCCATGTACTATCCTACTTAATTTACATATATTACCTCATTTAATTGCCATTATGCTCTGTGGTCTTTACTTTAAAAATTATCATTCAAAGAGGCTTAAAAATGCTTCACTCCTAGTTTTGAAGATGGAGGAAGAGGATATGAACCAAGGAATATAAGCAACTTCTAGAAGCTGGAAAGATACGGAAATAAATTCTCTCCTAGATCCTCCATAAAGAACACGGCCCTTCCAAGCCATTTTGGACTTTTGACCTTCAGAACTGCAAGATAATAAAGTATGTTGTTTTATACCCATAAAAAAATTATTCAAGAAAATTGGTAATATTTATCTGGGAGGAAAACTTAGCTGTACATATGAAACCTTCTCAACCTTGGGGTGCTCAAGGTAAACTATGGGATAGGAAGAAAATCTTAGAACTTCCTTTTCACCTCATGCTTGATTTTTCCCTTTCTTGTGTATATTTCATTTTATATATATAGCATAGAACAACTTATGTAAATAATTTGCAAGTAACTTAATAGACATATACTGGAGATAACCAAACCAAACCAAACCCATTGCCGTTGAGACTGTTCTGAGTCTTAGCAACCCTGCAGGACAGTGTAGAACTGCCTCACAGAGTTTCCAAGGCTGTAATCTTTACAGAAGCAGGCTGCCACATCTTTCTCCTGTGGAGCGGCTGGTAGGTCCGAACCACTGACCTTTTGGTTATCAGCCGAACGCTTAACCACTGTACCAGCAGGGCTCCTCATATTAGGGTTAAAAAAACCAAACCAAACCCATTGCCATCAAGTCAGTTCCAACTCATAGGCACTCAATAATATTGAGGGGGAAAATTTAGCCATACATATGAAAGCTTCTAATTTTTTCACATTCTTTGACCCAGCAATTTTACTTCTTGGATTTTATCTTAAGGAAATAAAGTTGCCTGTGTACAAATATTTAGCTACAGGGGTATTTATGGAAGAATAACAATATTGTGCTTGTGAGAATTGAAATAGTCTAGATGTCCAACAATTGGGGGTTGCTTATATAAATTATGGTACATTTATATGAAGAATCCTAACAGGAAGCTATTAAAAATTATGGAAGCAGATCTTCAGGCCTGTCTTCCGAGGTGCCTCTGGATGAGTTCAAACTGCCAACCTTTCAACCAGTAGTCAAATGCTTAACAATTTGCACCATCCAAGGATTCCTAAAAATTGTATAGTAGTAGAATATACAATTACTGAGAAAAATAAATCCCGATTTTGTACGTGGAAAAAACAGATAAAAGACTATAGAGTTCATATGTGTAGAAGAAAGAACAAGAATGATGTAACAAAATGGTGGTAGCTCTTAGTGGTGGGCTAAGGGGCAAATTTTATTTTCTCTGTGCTTCCCTGTGTTGGTCTAACTTTTGTACAGTAAATATATATTTTTCAACTTAATTTTTTGAATAAGTATTGTATTCACAAAGTTCAATATTTGGTAATTATAAAAGCGTATACTGTAACAAAGTCTTTTTCCTATCCCTGTCCCCTAAACAGGAGTCCCTGGGTGGCACAATTCATTAAGCACTCAACTACTAACCAAAAGGTTGGTGGTTTTAACTCATCCAGAGGCACCTCGGAAGAAAGGCCTGGCAAGTGGCTTCTGAAAGTTCTACTCTGCACATACTGGGTAGCCATGAGTTGGAATCGACTTGATGGCAACTGATTTTTTTGTTGTTGTTCCCCAGATAACCCATCTCTCTCTCTAAAAGTTATTGGTTTCTTGTGTATCTTTTCAAGGATATTTTATGTTTATAAATTTTTTATGTTTACATATATTTTTCCCCCTTGTCACACAAATAATGTCCTGTAATATATGCTGTTTAATCTTTCTCTATACAAAATATATTCAATTTTGCTATATAAAATTGAATAATTTTGTATGTCTGTCATTTCACACATGGGGGAGTTCATCCGGAGGATATATTCCTAAAAGTAGAATTGCTGAGTCAAAGAGTATGCCATTTGTAATTTTGATAAACACTGCTCTCTGAGGTTTTATATTATGTATATATATATATAATCTCATGATTTCTGCTAGGGCTTTAATGGTTTGGGGTTTTTTACGTTTCAGTTTTAATTCATTTTAATTTATCCTGGCTTAATAGATGTTTAACAAGAAACCAAATTATTTAACATATTAAACTCTTCACTCATAGTGGAAATTCAAGTGCTGCTTGCCCCCTCGGTTAGCTCACAGGATCTACATGCAAATAAGGACATCTTGCGAAGGTTCAGCTTACAGAGCAGATGAATATCACAGCAAGCCCTCTGCTGGACCGTGTACAGGTTTTACCTGTTTCCAGAGTCACGTTGTAGCGCAGAGGTAAGCCCTGAGAGCTTGATTTCCACCTTCGAGTGAATTTTTCCCTTCAGTAGAACTCAGGTTGCTGGTTGGATTTCCTTTCTGAAATATTGTAAGTTGCTCTAATCATTTACATCAGAAGAAGCCGGTTCCCCTGTTGAACTGGGGTATGTGTGTGTATGGGCTGCATGCATTTGTGCGTGACCATGTGAGAGTATATAGGAAGAGAACTAATTTCATTCCCGCAGGGACTCTGTAGACCTGTTACTCACTGGTGAACATAAGCAGCTGTACTGAAATGTCAGATGGATTTGCACAGCTGACTCAAGTTGCCAAAAAGAGAGCAGCATAGTAGTTCCATAAATTGACCCTATCCTGCCAAGCCCTGCTTAATATAGATCCGGCATGAGCTTAGCTGCAGTCACTCCTAGCTGCTCAGCAAACACCACTGAGCTTCTTCGGGGGAAAATATCTCAAAGTGGTGTTGACCTGGGACACTTGCTAACTGGGGGAACTTCTTGAGCCTTTTTTTTTTTTTTTTTTAAATCACCTTCAATTATTTCTTCTTTTCTAATAGAAGGAAAAAAAAACAAAAACAAAAAACCATGTCAGAGCACAGCAAGAACTCAGACCAAGAAGAGCTCTTGGATGAGGAGATTGATGAAGATGAGATCTTGGCCAACTTGTCCCCCGAAGAGCTTAAAGCACTGCAATCTGAAATGGAAGTCATGGCTCCTGATCCCAGGCTGCCCGTGGGAATGATCCAGAAAGATCAAACTGACAAGCCACCGACAGGAAACTTTGACCATAAATCTCTCGTTGATTATATGTATTGGCAAAAGGCATCCAGACGCATGCTGGAAGACGAACGTGTTCCTGTCAGCTTTGTGCCTTCTGAGGTAATCAGGGCTTTGCGATCATTTGTCCATGTTGTGGTTGTGGCTTCTCAAGGCTCCAAAGTTTTCTTTTTTCCTGTTTGTTCTTGCCGTGTGTGTATATATATACATGTTTATATTTATATTTACACACACACACACACACACACACACACACACACACACACACACACGTTAATAGTTAGCCCTACTCCAGACTTGAACTTTTTGAAATACTTATATAGCTGTGAGGGAAAAGTTGATCATTTCTTGTAAATGTCTCTTTAAAACATTTCTATGGTGTTTGCTATGCAAGAAAATCTGTATTCTATAGCCACGGCACTTAGCTCCTTAATTTATAACCCAGAAGCAGTTGTCATTACCTCTTTTTTTAGCTCACAGGCCCTTTGAGAAGCTGATGAGTGCCCTGTGCCCTCTCCCTCTGGCACATTCACACATATGCAGCATTTCACATAGAATTTCTTGGGTTTCACAGTCCCCCAAAGTACAGCCACACCCCCCATGATTAAACCAAATCAAACAACCGAAAATGCCTAATATTCCCACAGTACCTTGGATATCAGTAATGCCATTTTTAGAAATCAAGAGCTATTAAGCTGTTTTTAAGACAGTTCTTTCTTGAAATTTTTTTTTTTAAATAATTTTGTGTTTTTGGTGAACGCTGACACAGCAAGTTAGGTTCCCATCTTGATTTTTTTTTTTTAATATCTGAAAACTAGAAATGTGGTCCAATCTATGAACTTATTATATTTTTTCATGTTCCACTTACAAATGACCTCACAAAAGAATATGGAGATCTCCCTAGGTAAGGTCTCTGTCGGTTATGCCTGCTGATACAAATATCTTATCACATTACTACCAGGCAGGCTGTAAAGGAAAGTTCTAAACAGATATCATGGTCAGGAAAGTTTGAACATGCATTGAGTTCAAGAAAATACACTCCTAACTTGATCAGGTTAGAGTTTAAGGTACAGTTTGAAGACATTTTACAGCTGGAGGTCAGTGGATTAAAAGCCAATTGTATACGAAAGCCAATTTCGGAAAAGAAACGGATTGGGTACTTTTAACATTTTTTTCTTCCTCTGTTATAATTTGAACAATCTGGTGGTTGGCTGCCCCTGCTGGGTTAGATGAGAAATGCACCGGTGGAGGCTTTCTCTGGTTATGGTGACTGTGTTGTCAACTCTCAGTCCCAACATAGACTAGGTACTGAGGAAAAAGAGCAAGCTCTTGCTTGGATGAACTTGTGTCTCAAATTGCTACACCAACTTTCAAAATGACACCTATGAGGTACACATATTGTAGAGCCAAGTATACTAATTGATGTGTAAGAATCCAGTAAACAATCTTGAGAAAAGTCTGTCATTTTCCTTCCCAGATTAAGCAATTGTTTTTAAATCTCTTTGCATAGTCCCGTTAAATTTGTAGGTGGACCTGTCTCCAGGATGCCTCCCTTTAAATTAATCTGGACTAGTAAACCTTTCTCTGGAATAGCCAGAACAGTTTTCACAGAGCTGAGGAGACAAAGTTGAAGTTTTTGGTAAATTCCAAAATATCAAACTGCTCTCATTTTCCCCACAATATGTTATGTTTTGAGGGAAAATTGACGTACGTGTTACACTAGATTAGCAGGCATTTTAGGAACGTAAATTTTAGTTAGGGCAATAAGGAAATTATTGTAAGCCAGGGCTGTTTAGTACAAAGATGCCTATTCAGCTATATACAAAACAAAGACTTCAGTGTATTGATAGACAGCTCTATAAAGTTGTCAAAACAGAAGTATTTTTTAACTGCTTCTGGAATTGAACACCATTTTAAAAACAAAATAGAATCTGAAAACAAAATTAATTAGGTTTCCTTTTAATATCTGGGATGAGATAAACAGCCAAAAATGAGTGTTTGTATATGTGCGTGTATCTGTATAAACTTATCTTTACTTTGCTAATATTGGCTTACAAAATTAATATATGTCTTTTGTGAAAAACTCAAACATTGTGGAATTACATCATGTAAAATATTAAAGTCCCCCAAACGCTTCCATAGTTCTTGCTTGTTATCTCCTTTCCTCACAGATAGCCAGTAATTCAATAAATGTTCCAACAAACTCTTTTCCTATGCATATGTAAACTTTCAGAGATTGTATGTGTGTGTGTTTATGTATATTTACGTATACACACACATACACGAATGGAATAATACTATACATGCTGTTTATTGACTTGCTTTGCTTTTTTTCACCTAACAATAAATCTTTTAGACTTTTTCATATCCAGTAGGTATTGCTTTATTTAATATTTCTTCACTGCTATTTATTCTAATCCTCAAAAACCTCTCTTTTAGGAAGATACACAAGAACAACATGAAGAAATAGACAAAGGTCATAAAAATGTGTCCCAATTTTTACAAGAAAAGCTCAACAAAGAAATAGCTGCAAATAAAAGAGAACCAAAGGGCGGCAACAGTGTCCAAGAAACAGATAATAATGATGACGAAGATGAAGATGATGAAGGAGAGGATGCTGGTGGAGAGAGTGACAAAAAAACAAAAAGAGAAGAAGGCGAAGCAAAGGAGCAAATCGGAAACGGTGAGAGCAATTGCCAACAGATAACAGATAAGGCATTCGAAGATCAGAAAGACAGACCAGAGGTTCAAGAAAACAGTGAGAAAAAAATAGCAAAATTAGACCCTAAGAAGTTAGCTCTAGATACCAGTTTTTTGAAGGTAAGTGCAAGGCCTTCAGGAAACCAAACAGACCTGGATGGAAGTTTGAGACGAGTTAGGCAAAATGATCCTGACATGAAGGAACTCAACCTGAACAACATTGAAAACATCCCCAGAGAAATGTTACTGGACTTTGTCAATGCGATGAAGAAAAACAAACACATCAAAACCTTCAGTTTAGCGAATGTGGGTGCAGATGAGAACATAGCGTTTGCCTTGGCTAACATGTTGCGTGAAAACAGGAGTATTACCACTCTCAACGTTGAGTCCAATTTCATCACAGGTAAAGGAATTGTGGCCATCATGAGATGTCTCCAGTTCAATGAGACACTAACAGAGCTTCGGTTTCACAATCAGAGGAGCATGTTGGGCCACCAGGCTGAAATGGAAATAGCCAGGCTTTTGAAGGCAAACAACACTCTCCTCAAGATCGGCTACCATTTTGAGCTTCCGGGTCCCAGAATGGTGGTAACCAACCTGCTCACCAGAAATCAGGATAAACAAAGGCAGAAAAGACAAGAAGAACAAAAACAACAACAACTCAAAGAGCAGAGAAAATTAATAGCCATGTTGGAGAATGGGTTGGGGCTGCCCCCTGGGATGTGGGAGATGTTGGGGGGACCAATGCCGGATCCCAGAATGCAGGAGTTCTTCCAGCCTCCTCCTGGGCCTCCCAGCTCCCAAGCAGTCCCTTTCAGTAGACGAAATGAAACGAAAAAGCCATCGCAGCCTCCGCAGTACAAGACTGACCCTGACCCCTTCCAGGAAGTGAAACTGAAGCGAATCCAGCGCAAATCTTGGATGCCGGAAACCAAAGAATCGCCTGAGAAAACCAACCTCAAAGACGTGATCAAAACGCTCAAACCGGTGCCGAGAAATAGGCCACCCCCACTGGTGGAGATGACCCCCAGAGATCAGCTCTTGAACGACATTCGTCACAGCAACGTTGCCTATCTTAAACCTGTGAGTAGAGGGAGGGAGAAATGGTGGACGAGCACCAGAATAAATGTATCCCAACTCTATTCCTTGTTAATTTTAACACAAGGAGACACTTACTAGTTGTCACTAACTGGGTTAGTCTGAGCCGGCAAGAGTTACCCAAGAATCCATCTGATGGATTTGAACTGCCAATCTTTGGGTTAGCAGCTGTAGCTCTTAACCACTACGCCACCAAGGTTTCCTCAAGAGTTACCAGTAGATCTAAATGACTAGTTATCCCTAAAGACACATCTTTAGAACTTCTGTGACAAAACAATGTTAATAGCTAACACTTACTGACCGCTTACTCTAGGTCAGCTTCGTTATATGAATTAACTCATACAATTATTTTGACAACCGTATAAGGTTTGTGGAGTCCTGGTGGCGCGGTGGTGAAGAGTTTGGCTGCTAACTAAATGTCCACAGTTTGAATCCACCAGCTGCTCCTTGGAAACCCGATGGGGCAGTTTTACTTTGTCCTATAGGATCGTCATGAGTCGGAATCGACTTGATGGCAACAGGTTTGGTCTGGGTTTTTATAAGGTACGTACTATATTCTCCCATTTTATAGAAAGAAAACTGAGATTTAGAGAAGTTGAACAACATGTCTAGGAGAAACAGCTAGAAAGTGGTAGAGCTGACATTGAAACCCAGTTCTGAGTTCAGGGCCAACCCTTATTCATCCACTATGCTGGCTGTGACCTTTCAGAAGCAGATTGCCAGGACTTTATGCTGAGGTACCTCTTAGTGAGTTCGAACCTCCAACTTTGCAGTTAGCAGCCGAGCACTTAAACTTTTATGCCACTCAGGGACTCCCACCTGCAAGTGCAGACTCAGAGTAACACCAACCCAGCCGCTAGAGAGGCAAAGGAACTTGCTGTAAGGAATAAATAAGAAAAAGGTGTAATTAGGCCAGTCATTTGTAGATAACTGAAAGCTTCCAAAGGAGCCCTGGTGGCATAGTGGTTAAGTGCGCCACTGCTAACCGAGAGGTTGGTGGTTGGAACCTACCAGCCGCTTCGCAGGAGAAAGATGTGGCAGTCCACTTCCGTAAAGGTTACAGCCTTGGAAACCCTATGGGGCAGTTCTACTCAGTCCTGTAGGGTTGCTATGAGTCGGAATGGAATCCACTCGACGGCAGTGGGTGGAGATGCTTCCAAAAGGTTGACAAACAGTTGGCTCTTTCTAGTACATGAAGAGACACTACCTGTAATAATATTCATACTCTTCATAGCTAGGCAGGCAGACAAATGGTAAACTTCAGGTTAGCTTGCCCAGGAATGAATGGAGTTTTAAAATATGTTACTATTATTTCAGTTTTAATATTTGCTTTTGTTCACTGTTTCTGCTGATGTGTGAAAAAGATCTATTCCTTGCTGCTTAGGTTCTATTTAACTGGCAGAAATGAATTCTTTTTTGCCATCCCCATGATGGCATTTTTGGAGGTGGAAATCTGTGCGTACAAGGGCCACAGCTGATTGAAAATTAATTATGTTATTTTAAAATCTAGTGAGGAATTTAGCCAAGAGATTACATTAACATAATTTTCAACATATTATTTTATTAGAGATTACCAATTTTTTCAGCACATTTTAAACAAATTTCCATGTGAACTTGTTCTGTGGTTTTTTTTTTTTTTGCAAAAAGTTAATATTTATTAAATTTGAATGGCAGGTACATGGGTATTGTTTATGTATCTGTTTTTTAATTTTATTGTGTTTTAGGTGAAAGTTGACAGTGCAAATTAGTTTCTCATTCAAAAATTTATACACAGATTGTTTTGTGACATTGGTTGCAATTCCTGCAGTATGTCAGTACTTTCGCTTTCCACTCCAGGTTTTCTGTGTCCATTCATCCAGTTTTCCTGTCCCTTCCTGCCTTCTCGTCTTTGTTTTTGGGCAGATGTTGCCCATTTGGTCTCACATTCTTGACTGAACTAAGAAGGATGTTCCTCACGTGTTATTGTTTGTGTTATAGGCCTGTCTAATCTTTGGCTAAAAGGTGGACTTCGGGAGTGGCTTCTGTTCTGAGTTAGCAGGGTGTCCGGGGGCCATAGTCTTGGGGGTTCCTCCAGTCTCTGTCAGACCAGTAAGTCTGGTCTTTTTTTGAGAATTTGAATTTTGTTCTACATATTTCTCCTGCTCTGTCTGGAACCCTCTATTATCATCCCTGTCAGAGCAGTCAATGGTAGTAGCTGGGCACCATCCAGTTCTTCTGGGCTCAGGCTGATGGAGGCTTTGGTTTATGTGGCCCATTAGTCCTTTGGACTGATATCTTTCTTGTGTCTTTGGTTTTCTTTATTCTCCTTTGCTCTGAATGTGGTGGAACCAATAAATGTATTTTAGATGGCTGCTCTCAAGGTTTTAAGACTCCAGACACTACTCACCAAAATCGGACGTAGAACATTTTCTTTATGAACGATGTTATGCCAATTGACCTAGATGTCGCCCGAGACCATGGTTCTTAGCCCTCAGCCCTGGTAACTCAGTCCCTCAAGGTGTTTGGATGCATCTAGGAAGTTTCTATGATTTCACCTTGGTCAAGCTGTGCTGACTTTCCCTATATTGTGTGTTTTCTCTTTTTCTGTTTTAAAGAGCTTTGTGTTAGTCATCTAGTGCTACTATAACAGAAATACCACAAGTGGATGGCTTCAACAAACAGAAATTTATTCTCTCACAGTCTAGCAGGTAGAAGTCCGAATTCAGGGTGCCAGCTCCAGGGGAAGGCTTTCTATCTCTGTCAGCTGTGGAGGAAGGTCACTGTCATCAATCTTCCCCTGGTCGAGGAGCTTCTCAGTGCAGGGACCCTGGGTCCAAAGGATGCCCTATGCTCCCAGTGCTTCTTTCTTGGTGATATGAGGTCCCTCTGTCTCTCTGCTCGCTTCTCTCTTTTATATCTCAAAAGAGATTGGCTTAAAACACAATCTAATATTGTAGATTGAGTTCTGCCTTATTAACATAAGTGCCACTAATCCTGTCTCATTAGCATCATAGAGACAGGGTTTGCAACACATAGGAAAATCAGATCAGATGACGAAATGGTGGACAATCACACAATACTGGAATCATGGCCTAGCCAAACTGATATACATATTTTAGGGGGGCATAATTCAATTCACGACAAACTTTATATTCTAAAATATAATTGTTACTTATTCACATGTATATATATGTGTTTGTGTGTGTCCTGTATTCCCGTCTCCTAGTAAAGGAAAATTATCAACCTTGCATTTCTCTAATCAAAGACTTCCATCTGTGATTAAGAGGATCTCTGATTCTCCTTGGGCAGCAACCAGGGTGAGAACACCAGAGGTCACATGAGGTCAAGCAAGGGTCCTTTTTCTGCCCACGGGCACAACCCCAAGGCTTTCTGCACCTGCTTTTCCTAGGCTGCCAGGCCTCTGTAGGGGGTAGATCAGGGTGTTGTTTTGAGAGAAACTAGCTCTATCATTTCTTCCATAACCAGTCACTGGTAAAGCATATCCAAACTGCCTTGGTGGCTATGCAGTCAGAAGATAACATTAGTCTGAAAGGAATGAAGAGAAATATTTTTTAAATCTACATGAAGGGGGGCAAGTGGACTCAGAGTAGAAGAGAAAACGAAACTCAAAGGATCATCTGAAGAAACTCCCTGCCTTCTGAGGGAACCTTCTACTGAGAAAATCTGCTTTCCACAGTCCATTCCATTTCATCCATTCACTTACCAATTAATGCAACAAATATGTACGTAGTGCTCCCAGGTGTCAGATACTGGGAGAGGGATCAGGGCTGCTGGCTCAACCTCGTGGAGCTTACAGTGGAGGGGGTTAGAATTTTCATGGGCAAACACTTCAGCTTTAAGTTCAGCAAAAGACATAAAAATCATGATGATGATTGCAAAAATGCCATACCCCATTTTTTTCATATTTCAATCAATTCTAAAAATGCTATCAATTTTAAGTTTGTTTGTTTTTTTTTTAATGTTCATTAAGAGAGAAAAATATGCTGCAAGGTAAACTCTGTCTCATGTGTTTGGAATAATTGTCTTGCACATCAGCTTCTGTGCTTTGAAGTGACTTTCATCTTTTCCAAGGAAGTGGTGATTTCTTCTGCCTTCAGTTGCCTGGCTTGGCCTGCGACAGGCATCTGTTCGTGTGTATCTCAGTCCAAAAATGCCACACAACCTCGTCTACCTGGTCTTGTAAAATACTCTGCAATAAAAATGTGAAAATGTGTCATTCCACTGATGAAAATCTGCTTCAGTAATATCAATTTGCTCCCCGCCATTCTGTTTTGTGCCTGTCTGCATACACAGTAAATGTCTGCTTGATCATCGTGTAATCTTTTAAAGGCCATTTTTATTCTTCTTTTTATGTTTTTGTTTTTGTACCATTTTAGATTTACAGATGGTACAAAGAGTTCCAACATACCTGTCACTTTTTACCACATTTGCTTCATCATTTCTCAAAAGATATTTTAGTGGCAATGCATCTTTATGTGTGCAGTACCAACAGGGCACTTAGCTCATCAGAGGTGATAACGGTACGAATGGCTATGACATGTTCAAGCCTGTGGCTAGCTGTTATGAGACATCATCTCTCGTAAGATGCCTCCTGCTCTGGGAGCTGCTGAAATGTCACAGAATGTGTATCTTCAGCTTAATGGAATATAGCAGACACCATCAGTGGAGATATCCCAAAGTCCCAGCGGAAAGGGATATTTTTGTTCAAATGAGACACAATGCTCACTTTGTAGAGGTAAAGCTAAAGTTTTTTGAGTTTCTTTTCCCCTCTCGCATCAGAGTAACGGGATGCGCTCCACACCCTCGAATTTTCAAATATGAGGTTAAAATTAAAACACATTTTTAAAATCTTGAGTTTTCTTTCTTTTTTTTTTTTTTTTGATGCTGCTAACTAAATCACTGAATGTTTAAAAACATACTTTAAAATGTTATTCTAAGTAAAAACTTAATACTAAGTTGATTTTTTTTTTTTAAAAAAAGTTTTT